AATGATTATGATATTTATATTTGTTCAAGATTTGAACTTATTACTTTTTATGTTTTAGAACATTATTTTGAAATCCAAAAAATTTGTATTGTCCAGAAAATGCAAATTTTATCTATTTTTAATTTTTTCATAACCATGTACTCTCCTTATGGTTTCAACTAATATACAGAACCCTAAAATAATATTTGTAAATAAACCTAAACAATAAATGAGTATTTTTATTTTTAACTAGGATTTCATGTTTATATATGTACATAAAAACATTTTAATTTTGTTTCATAAATGTATTTTTATTTCAAGTTTGTTTCATTGCAGCTATACTTTTGTTTATTGTGCCGATTAAATTGTGAGGTTAGCAGCGTCAATTTTGTACAATTGCCGTAAACTATCATGCCTGTTGGTGGTCACTCTCGCTCAGTCCATAAAACTCAATCTTGAATCGGTATACAGAATTTCTCTTTGCTACACACTGCTTTTTATCATATTTACAAAGATACTACTAACGTCACCATTATGCAACTTCTCAAATACACATTTCTACTGATATAATTCAATGCCTTCTTTAAGTCCTTGAGTGCATAACAAAATCTGAATTACATGCTTTAAAACACTTTGTCTTACTGAATATGTCTTGCAACATACTTACATAAAGACAAGTTTGTCTTTTATGCAATATATTTTTAAAGCATTTACTTAAATCTGGCTATAAACTTGCACATCTACTGTTGTACATGGCTCCTACATAATAAGACAGTTAGTTCCCTTTGTCTGTAAAAATTGATTTAAGAAAAGGAATGTGTGTGAGAATCTATTACAAATGGGAAAGGTTTTCTCGGGTTTCTTAACTTTATTTTTTAATTCAGAGTATCTCCTAACTATATATGTCAGTGGTTCCCAACATATAGCCCATGGCCCACCTCAGGCCTTTGAAAGCCTGATATTTGGCCTACAGTATGATCAGATAATGCAAAAGTAAGCAAAACTATATTTGAAGAATGGTGTATTCACAACAAGCACAAGCAAGGCCCTTGGCTCTATGGTAATCATTTGAAGTGGCCCAATGTGGAAAAAAATTAAAGGCCACTGCTCTAGTTTAGTATGATAAAGGGTCAACATGGATTCACTAAAGAGAGGTCATGCCTTAATGTTAACTTTTTTTTTCTTTTGAAGATATTGTTATTTGGATGATGAAAAGTGTGAGTACTTGGTTTACTTGATTTTTAGGCTTCTGTTAAGGTAAAACACAAAAGGTTAGCCAAGAAAACCATATGAAAATGAAAAGAAAAAATTAATGGAGTACATCAAACTGGACTTTTGTTACTAATTGTTTGCCTTAGGGGTCAGTGCTTGGGCCTATACTTTCTCTTACTTACATCCAATAATGATACTGAGGGGCATAATTAGTAAATGAATATAGTTTGCTGAAGATATTAAACTCTTGGGTATATCTAACAGTACTGAAAATGTTGATGAATTGAAGAATCATTTAGATTGATTGGAAGTCAGACAAATACTTTGAAAATGGCCTTTAACTATAGTATGCAAGGTAATTTATATGGATTAGCATAAACTGGATTTCAATATTTACTATAGATGTGTAGTTATATTTGGGAGACAAAATTAAAAGAAAGATAACAGACAATTTTAACATTAATTTATTACAAATACATTTCAATCAATTATCATAATTTTACAGATGATTTTAAATTTCCCACATTTCTCTGAAAGTCTTGCATAAACTCAAAAAGATTTTGGTGCTAGTACATATGCTTATGGAGATGATGACAAATTATACAGCTTTAAGCATAACATATAAAACTTCATAAATACCTTTTACAAATGTTTTCAAACAGTTTATTTACCTAAATTTTATGATATTATTTGTTTGTTTGTTTTTGAATTTCGCGCAAAGCTACACGAGGGCTATCTGCGCTAGCTGTCCCTAACTTAGCAGTGTAAGACTAGAGGGAAGGCAGCTAGTCATCACCACCCACTGCCAACTCTTGGGCTAGTCTTTTACCAACGAATAGTGGGATTGACCTTCACATTATAACACCCCCACAGCTGAAAGGGGGAGCATGTTTGGTGGGATGGGGATTCGAACCCACGACCCTCAGATTGCGAGTCAACGCCTTATCCACCTGGCCATGCCGGGCCTTTTTTATGATATTGACTACCAAGTTCTTTGGTTGTACGACTGAAACAAAAGTACAGTTCTCTGATTCAGAATGAAACTATTCAGAAAACATTAAAAGTGACAAACCTTTTCTATATTGTACTTGTGACAGCTGAGTCCTTTCTTCATCCTGTACACTGATCACACTCTTAACTCTTGCCAGGACACGTGCAGCATTGTTCTGGAGTTTTTTGTAGAAGTCCAACCCTTTCTCAGATTTAGCTAACAAGTCATCATATGCTTCACAGGAATTCAAGAGTGACAGAACAAACATCTTTCTCCTAAAAAAATATATATTTCATTTAGATACTATTTTTCAGACAAGTTACAACCAACAGTCTTCTTGAAATTTAGTATTTTATTTAAACACCATTTACCAAAAAGTTATATTAAACACCTATCTCTTTAAAGTACAACATTGCATTTAAATACCAATTTTCAGAAATATTACAATGGCTGGCCTTTTTCCTAAAAAATACAAAATTTCCTGTAAATACACTTTTCAGAAAAGTCAAACCAATGATCTTCTTTTGAAAATGTTTCATTTCACATACATTTCAAAGAGGTCATAATAAACAGCTTTCTCCTAAGTATAATATTTCATTTAAATGATCCTTTCCAGAAAAGTTACAACCAACATTTTTCTTTTAAAAAATGTTGAAACTAGTAGTCTTGTAAAAATAAAAAACAAGTTCAGAGGAAATCCAACCAGCACTTTCTTCTAAAAGTAGTTCATATTCCAGTCATTTAAAATACCACAGTTCAGAATCTGTAAAATAAGGCTAAAAAAGGTGGCTTTCTGGTTCTCGTGCTCACTCTAACTACTTTGAAATGCCCATATAATTGTCATCTTTTCTTTGAGGGCACCACCCTAAGGTAACTAGAACATGCACAACAATATGAGCATAGTCAATAGACAATAGTCAACCTTTAAGATAAAAAAGAAAAAGCATCACCATCAAACTTTTGTAGTTTACTTCCACCAGAAACCATTAATCTATTCTTTCTTTGCCTTTAGTTCTTTTGCCCTAATAAAATCAGTATTATATTTTAATAGTACAGAGTATAGTATGAAGACAATCAATACCCTGCATCTAAAAATGTACCTACAGAAATATGAAGTTTTACACCCATGGAACTAATACAGTTTAAAATATATTGTAAAATATTATTCTTTACTTTATAGTATAAACATATATGCCCATGTTTTTAATACTGCCATGATAACAAATAATGCTGACCTTTGTAGGACGTCTTCTGTGGCTTTTCTGGTATCTGCATATCGTGCATGGGCCTGAGTCAAAGCTCGCAGGATATTATCTTGAGCAGCAAGGTTTTGCTCCAGAAGTCCTAATAAATGACTGTGTTTCTTCAGTTCTTCATCAAACAGTTTCTAAAAATAAAACATTTGCATTATTGATTGATTTCACAAGGAAATCAAAATTATCATGCAGAGGCATAACTGTCTTTCTGTATGGTTGACAATCGGTTTAACTCTTTCAGGCATGGTCTCAGTCCGTGGGACGGACTTTGTAACCATTTTGTGCTTATTATAGTTTTCATGCTATAATTTTTTAATTAGTAAGCAAATGTTAGTGAAATTTGACAGATTATCAGTAAACATTACAATGCTTTCATAAGCAAAATATCAAATTTTCTTACTAAGTCTTAAGGTTTGTAAAGCAATGTTTTTCTTATGTCTTTTTTTTTAATTTTCACATGTTGCCTATCCAACATGCAAAGTAATTTTCATTTTAAAATTAAAAATAGTTTTGTGCATCAGAAAATTTTTTAATTTCACATGCGAAATCTTTATAATGTCCAGATAGTTATCAAACATTTCTAAAGAAAAAAATTTTATATTTTATCTGCTATTTTCGGTAACAAATCTCTTTACAGGTTTGGTTGATTTGACCAACTTCACAACCACCATAAAAAATTAGGACAAAAATATAAATTATGCCTCTTTCATTCTAGAATGA